TTCTAACGGTCTGAACAGAAGTGCATTTGCTCCCAAGGCTGCAAAAAGATCGCTGGGAATCTGAGGAGTAGTCTTACCTAACAGAGTTGTGCGACTGTCAGGATGAAACAGTACCACACCACCTCTTTAACTGCCCAGCACTTTGTGACCTGCGTAGCACCTACTTACCTGCCTCCCCAGACATCGGAAACACTCTATACAGCGACAAAGCACAGCTGATTAAAACCTGTCAATTCTTTGCCATATATCGACAGACCGAAGGGCTAGAACCCAAATGGCCGCTGGATCGGAAAAGGAAAAGTAAGTCAAGTAGGGTAATGGGTAGGGTTGTGGTAGGGTTAGGGGTAGGAACTAGGGGTTGGGGTTAGGGTTGGGGTTAGGGTTGGGGTAGGGGTGGAGGTAGGCTTGTATTTGTTGAGGGTTAGGGGTAGGGGTATGGGTAGGTCTCTTCTTTATTGTGTTTGTTGAGGGTTAGGTTTTTAGGGTTAGGGTTGGGGTAAAGGTGGGGGTAAGGGTAGGGTTAGGGGTTGGTTCAGGGTACGGATTAGGACTCTTTTTTATTGTGTTTATTGAGGTGGTCGCTCGTTTTAGAGGGTAGGTTTTCTTTTCTCATAGGGTAATTGGTGGGGTGGGGGTGGGGGAGTTGAGGGCGGCTTGCCCCCCCCGATCAGGAGCAGCACTTCTTATTTATGAGGGGGGGGGGTGTTGCCTCCTTGATTAAGGTACATTTTAGGGTCAGGTTTTTTTCTTTTCCGTTTCTTTGTCCGTTCAAAATACGTGCGAAATGAAATCGTTATTTGTATAATTGTTCGATTCATCCATTACCGCGACACGGGTGTTCGAAAAGAACGAAATACAAGTAGACAGGTACAGAGAAAGCCATTGCCATGCATCATGTACACGTTGGTGCGGTCATCTGCCTCGGTGAAGCAGGCATAAACCTGTGGATGAAAAGAACTCGTGGACAATCCCGCTGAAGGATTTAAGCGGTGCTCATCGTTCAAGACAAATGAGCACAAATTTAAAGGGCCATTAAAGTTAGCAGTATTGTGGGCCTTTCTGTAAATGACCTTCTGAAGGAGCAATTACAGGTGACCGCTTCTCATCTTTTATTCATACAGTGTGAAGTCCACGTTCTTCGGTTGACATATTTTTCTTCATAGATAATGAGCCTGATATAGTATAAAGTTGGCTCTTCAAATGTGAACAAAACAAGTTCAAATTTGACATAGCAAAAGCAAATCTAACATTTGTGAAGTATTGTAATATTGAACGTTCAAATGTGACACCTATTTTAAAAAAATACAATGATATACCATGTAAGGTCAATTAATGTGACCATAGCAATTTCTAATAGGACACAATTTCTTTTTCAGATGTGACTTCGCACGCTAAAAGGGGATATCAATGAAAAAGTGAGTTATTTTATATCTGTGAAGGAAAAATGCCAGCCGTCTACTCCAAAATCGCTAATGCAGACAAAACTCGAATTTACAAGTCAAGCATAATATCTAAGAAGTGTGGACTTCTTGCAAAGTGCTTATTTGCTCGGCGTAAATCGGATTACTGCCTACAATATTTTTAAAAGAGCAAAGGAGAGAGCTCTCCAAGTAACACTGCTTCGTTGTGATAAGAGACATTGATAGGGATCCGACGATATGAAAGCCGTTGTCTAATATGTTGTTGACAGGCACCTGACTTTATTATTGGTATGACCAAAAGAGAACTGTGGTGTAACGGTTAGGCGATTCGCTGTCGTACGCAGAGACCTGAGTTCGATTCCCGAGTGGCGGAAAATGTTATCGAGCATCTCGTTCTTTTTGCTGGACGGATTTAATACTCCCTCCCAGCCTAGACTAACCCTGACATTTAGGGTTGGAAGCCTGCGTTTAAATGTCTGAAAGAAGTTCTGACTGCACTACGAATCTGCGCTGTGCTTCAACATGGCTGATGTATCATGTACAAGCCAGTGAATCCATGATTCGCCAGGTATAAAACTGTAGAGGAAACAAAACAATGCACTGTCTCTCCAGGGGACTAGAGTAGTGCGTGTCGTCCAAGTCCAACGAACAAATTTTACAATGACGTTTCGCTGTGAGTAATGTTGGTGGCCTCATATTCCATGAATTCTAAAGGAGGAATGACAGGTGATCTCAACAGTAGACGCAATTTTTCGTCATAGATAATACATCTGCTCATAGACAAGCAGGCAGCCTGTAATTGTCTTCATAATTAGTGTTACCGGTTCTTCCTCTTTTATTTGATCTACATTTATTCTCAATATATGCGAAACTGCAAATGAAAGGAACAAACAAAAGCAGCACAAGCTCCTGGATCAGCACTGTGAAGAAATAATGACAAACCAAACCTAAATCGCAGAACAAGGAGTACATGTGTATATGGCTGGTGCTCCAAAGATTCTAGATGCTTTTTAGGAGTAAGGAAGAGTATTACATTTTGCCTGCCTGATTTAGGAGACAAGAAGTTTTCACGTAATTTTAAGCTTTTCTATATTTCATGTACTTGGACCGCATGGACGAAGTGGAGTGTTTTTTAATTGTTATTTGCTACATCGAAACATTACGTTAACAGATATTCTTTTAAATAATTAGTTCCATTCAAATCATCTCAAGTCAATGATTCTACTGGAGGAGGAAGAGGAGGAGGAGGAGGAGGAGGAGGTGGTGGGTGAGGTAGAGGATGAGGAGGAGCAGGAGGAGAAGGAGGAAGAGGAGTGGAGAAATTGTTGTTTTGAAACCTTTTACTAACGTGTTACTTTTGCATCTGGAATGTCATATATTTGTTCTTGCATTCATTCACATTTGAAATGCAATTTTGACACTTTGAACGCACTGTATGCAAATTTGCGCTTTTTATGTTCTGACGCACAGAAAGATCTCCGATAAAGTTAGACATGATAGGCTATTTAAAATACTAGAAGAGCTAGACATATTTGGAAAAGATCTAAGAATTATCAGAAATGTGTACTGGGACCAAAACGCTACTGTACGAATTAATGGAGAATAAAGTGAATATAAGCAGATTAGAAAAAGGGTGAGGCAACATGTGTTGTCACCAGACCTCTTTATTTAAAATATAAATGGAAACAATCCTTAGAAACGTAGCAGAAAGCCCAGGTCTCATAGAGAATTGCGGAAATATTAATATCATCAAATATGCCGATGACACATGTTTAATAGCAAACTCAGAAAAGGACCCTCAATCGCTTTTAAATACTGTTGTAAAGGAAAGTGAACCTAAAGGGTTATTGTTGAATGTAAAGAAAACTGAATGCAAGGCAATATCTAAAAACTCGTAAGCAAAGACGAAAAGATCATGCAAGTTCAAC